AAATGCGACTTTTCCGACTAAATAATTATAAATCTTTGCTATTTAACTTTGTATGTACTGTTTCTAATAATAACAAAAAATAGTTTTAAGTCGGCAAATGAATTATTAAACCCTGAAAATCATTTTAGACTTACCCGGTAATCTCATATGAGGCATATTCGAAGGGCGGGATGTTAAAAGTCCGTAACCAATTTAGAATTAGAAACAAGATCTATCCAAATTGCCAAATATAATATTGAATTCTTTAATAAAGTTGTATACATATTGAATGAAATCGATTAATACTATAATTTGATTCGGTGTATTTACTTGTCTTGCATGGTCACGGCGGAATCAGACGACTTCTTTTGTTTTATTATTATAGTAATATACCGTAAAAAATAATGCGATCTAATTTTCATAGTTTAGAATATTAGAACTATTTCATCCGTTTCTACGATCAATGAAATTGTTTCCTAAAATTTTGTCCGTATTACGCAGAAAACCCGATGATCCGAAAGTGCATGTACCATAAGACTAGTACAGTTTTTTAAAGTTTATTTAAAGACTTATTTACATAAGCATAATGGAACCATTGTACAAATAAATCAGCGGATTGAGTTAAGGGACTTCATTTCATTAAATTGATTTATTTGAATTTTTATTTAGAATTCAAGCAGTGAGATGATTTTTTAAATCCATAATCACATCCATCGTACAATTATTTAATATATTTTGAATTAAATCTTTGAAAACTTTGTTCACACAATTTAGGAACAAAATCCCGAAAATAAGTAGATGCGTTTCATTAGAACCAGGTAGTATTCGAGGTTCCTAATTGACCCCAGGTGAGAAATCAGTACAGGTATGTTGACAATGATCACACACACGGGCCACGGGTGTCAGTTAGGGGAGAAGGGGGAGGGGGTGTTGACCGCAGAGGAAGGCAATGTGCTTATTAGAGAGCTACACATACGTGTCAGTTTTCTGGTAAGGAAAGGTCTTTGACACCCCGATGGATTATATTTTCAGTTTATTTCCACGCCGAAAAGGTAAGCTGTTAAAAAACATCATGTTTTTCCTTGTATACATTACTTTAAAATTTGAACGTATACGGCGGTGTTAAAATCATCTGGATCAATGTCTTATGTTTTATAATTTTTGTAACATGAAGACTTTAAATAATTGTGCATACATGCAGATCAGAGGCGTTAACATATTACTTATATAATCAGACAGTAAATAAGGGGAAAAAAGAATATTGCATGAAAAAAGATACATATCAATATCCTGCTTATTATTTATTTATTTACTTTTTGGTTACGCATACACCGTAGCTTACCAAAAATCTTTCTCCAGTAACTCTGATTCATTTAAGAAAATCCTATTAAAAATATCTAATTTTGAATAAATAATTCATACAATTCGATAAATTATTTTTTAAAAAAAAGGCCGTTGATAGTTTATAATTTCATTTCCGAAAAATAGAGTTACTGTTTAATTTTTGACAATCACTCTCTGCTTTACCATGATATACTTATTTTATTTATGTGATTAATTATTGATTGATTAATCAATTTATTTATTCATGAAATACGCTATTCATTTATTCTTTTCCGTCTACGCTTTATTATTTCTTTTAATAATGAAAAAGAAAGGGATAAAACTTTCATTTCTCCTTTTCGATTGAAGTAATCTTATTTTAGCTAACAAAACGAAAAAGAAACTCGGAACAGCTCAGTAGTTTCTTTCTATAGTAAAGATAAAAAGCGAGGGTTTCCGAATATACACGATAAACGCAAAACACGATACACGATAGAACCTGATAAACGATCTACACGATAAACGGAAAACACGATAAACGCAAAACACGATAGAAAACGCAAAACCTGATAAACGGAAAACACGATACGATAGGATACGATAGGATACACGCACGATACGATAGGATACACGCACGATAGGACACGATAGAATTGTAAAGAATAACGATGCGGGTACTGTATATTACCAGAGTTTATATGGAATAACCTAGTCACTTATTTAGAAAATGAAGGTCAAATCCAGCATCCGGAGCAAGTCCAGTAGTATCCATCCCTAGATGCATCCTCCATGCAAGTTTAGTCCAGGTAGGGCTTATCTGAAAAGTGTAGGCCAGGTCCAGTATCCGAAGCAAGTCTGGTGGTGTCCATCTCTAGATGCATCACCCATGCAAGTTTGGTCCAGGTAGAACTTAAAGTTACTTGGAAATGGACTTGCTCCAAACATTTAGTCTAGATAGGGCTTAAAATTACTTGGGAATAGACCTGCTCTTAAAACTTTAACCTTGTCACTCATTTGGAAAATATAGGTCAAATTCAGCATCCAAATCAAGTCTGGTAGTGCCTTATTCATAGATGCATCATCATGCAAGTTTGATCCAGGTAGTCTTAGGGTTAATAGTTACTTGGGAATGGACCTGCTCCTTAAACTTTAACCAGGACGCCGACATCGACTGTGACGCCGGTGGTATAGCATAAGCTCATCTCGACTTCGTGAAGGTGAGCTAAAAAAGTTAAAGCTGCTGAACCGTAATTACAGGTAACGTTTACGAAAAAGTGTATGACTCAAAATATTGGATGTTCATTTTTTGCATGCATATTACTTCTTATATTTATAACTATAGAATTGAATAATTTTAATCAGCGCGATTATTAAGCATTCATAATCACAATGAGATTCGTTCGCTAAATCAAGGATGAGAACAATGGTATCAAGTATTATTACGGTCTAAATATATCACTGACTTTGTTTCAAAAGGATAAACAACTGGCATATTCAGTTAGTGTAAAAATGGTAGAACCACCCACACCAAATATCGTAAAGAAGAATCGCTATATATTTAATAGTTTTATAATAAGACTTGTTTTGGCGGTTAAAGCATGATTCTATTAAAACCAAAAAGTAGTCTAGTGAAGATCTTGTGGATAAGATTTCAAAAGCAAAAGAAAGATCTTAAATTCTCAAGGATTTTTTTTTCGAACATAAACGATATACTTTTAAACGTTATCATCTCCCGAAGTATCCCGTGGGGATCCGGGTTAGAATAGGTCCTCAGTACCCCCTTGCTTGTCGTAAGAGGCGACTAAATGGGGCGGTCCTTCGGATGAGACCGTATAAACCGAGGCCCCGTGTCACAGCAGGTGTGGCACGATAAAGATCCCTCCCTGCTCAATGGCCCTGAGTGCCGAGCATAGGCCCAAATTTGCAGCCCTTCACCGGCAATGGTGACGTCTCCATATCAGTGAAATATTCTGGAGAGGGACGTTAAACAGTAAACAATCAATCAATCAATCTCCCGAAGTAATTGTTGTCTGCATGAAATATAAATTAAAATCGGACCCCTGCACAATTTATTTTTTTTTTGATTTATTTGACTTAATGAGTATCCAATACGATAAAAAATAACATTAAGAATAAGCTTTAATCATGTTAAGATAATAGAAAATGAAAATATTAATCACGTAAATACTGACCATCAAAATATGCCATGTCTTTTCAACACTTTCTGAATTATTACTTAAAAGAAGATAATGCGTAACCACTTTTACATGCAATAATTCTGAAGTTGATTTAAAAAGATTCCCAAGTTTCTTATTGATAATATCTGTTTAGTTCTCGAAGGCGGTTTAAATTCAAATTTGCATTCATTTGTTTCATTTTAGATACTCAAAGGGTCTCTATATTCCTTTTAAGAGAAATTAATTCAAAATGTCTTGATAAAATTGAAACAAAAGTATTTTGTTTCATTGCTTTTTTCAATACAAAAAGAACTTTTAAATGTCTCTTTAAATTAAAATAAATCATTTTCCTTCAAAAGTTGAGTTAAGGCATCCTAAGGATTTCGAAGCGATATACTGTGGTTTCATCAATATTCGTTGAGCACCAATTTTCGTGGATTTCGTTGTTGAACAGATCCACGAATTCAAATGTTCATCGAATTATGAAATATGCTATTCATTTGTATAAGCAATGCTTTTGTCCACGAAATTACGTATCCACGAAAACCTGTGTTTAATAAAATCCACGAAAATTGATGGCCACGAAAATTGATGAAACCACAGTACACAAAGAAGTCATAAGGAAGTCTCAAACTAGATGTACTTTGAGCAATGAACTCACTAATTAAATGATACCCCCACCTATCATATGAATATAATGGCAGTGTCCTTGTTTTGCTGTGGGAAATCCAAATCCGATTCAAAAAGTAAAATACGACGTGTACAATGGCAACATGTAATAAAGAATCTGTAATAAATTCATCAAATTTCATTCAGTGGTATGAGAGGAGTTGCCGATAAAAGATACAATGCGTAAGCATGATATGTAATTGTTTCTGCAATATCTGCGACGTTAATTCCCGTACTTACGAACAAAGAAAGCATTTTATTGTTAATATTTACATCTATATTAAAAATAATTCAAAATAAGATTAAATTTCTTTTAATATTGCATTAAAGATGAATATACATGCATAATTGTATTCAAAACGGATGGAACTAAAATTGTTCTAGAAATCTTCGCACGTGGGTCGCTTAGCATTGTTCATGCACCGATTAACGGCAATGGGTTCTCTTAAAAAATAAAAGAGAAAGTACTCAGTGGTTGTAAATGTATAAGCCGAGTTAATAAACTCTAATGATATCGTCACACGCTGTAAGTAATTTTGGTCAGACCTTTTCCCGTATATTTTGAAGTTGCATGGGAAAAGGTAATAAAAAAAAAAGATTATTTTGTTGTTCGAAAAGGTTAATCAAGTTGTTAATTTTCAAAGATTTGTACACCGATAATTGCATAATTAATGTAGTTTAAAAAAAACAAAACTGTCACGATCTTAATTCAATTCTTGTGCATAATAAAAAAGCTCATTATTTGGTACAGTATAAATTATCCTTGTGGACCGACATCGATTTTTTACCGCTCAATAAAACTTTGAAAACATAATTAAAAAAAATTATAAGAGCAATGCATTTTACTTACCTATTTTCCCTTTACGTCGACGGTTCCTTCGGCGCCTAAGGTAAAGGAGATATAAAACTACGAGAACAATCAGAGCTATAATGAAGGTGGAAACAACACCAGCAATAACTGCTGTAGTATCATCCTCTGGTTGAAATACATTAGTAGTGTTTTGTGAAATGGACCTGAAAATTAATTTGAATTTGAGAGAAGAGTTTCTTTTTTAGAGTCCAATAATTACAGTTAGTAAAATATTTTAAAGGCTGATGAACAATAAAGCATAAAAAGTAAAAATGCCTTACATTGAATCATTTGGACAGTTTTCATTTGCAAAATAGCATTTTTCCTCTGGATTTATTTCTAAGCAGGCATGATCTGAAACGTTGATTCAACAGAATATTAAGGCAATGCAATTTCAATTTTTTTTTCAGTTTATATTTTATATGCAACAAAATGCTTATAATTACATTTGTACACTTCATTTGTATTGTAGGATTCTTCTGGACAACCATTGAGAAAGGTTGAACAGTTGAGAGCGTCAAGGTGTCCAGTGGATACAGCATAAGGGCACAAATCTTTAAATTAAATAAATCATATTTTTGTAAATTAATACATTTACAGGAGCAGAATAAAAATCAAATTACAATATTGTTTACTTATATTCAAGAAGAATAAGCTGACTTACTTGCTCCATATCTGCCAATACTCCCTTAAAGACAAAATTCCACCAGTGAAGATCTGTCATCATTAGGTACACACTGGTACAGGTTCCTTCCTAGTGTATCATTAGGACACTGTAACTTAATGCCATTGCTCAGCCACGAATTGGCGTTTGTGGGACATGACGTCACTGGTTTTAACTCCACGTTCATTTCCTAAATAATCAATTTTATCAATCTTGATCAATAATGTTAAATTGAGATTTCTTAAGAAATATGAAGAAAAATTATGTTTGGATTTAAGAAACTGCCATTTTTCCATAGTTACAACCTTATTGTAACGAGACACATAGAACCTCACAAGAACAGGTCATATATAACACCCAACAGATTCCTCTACCAATTGATTATACATTTTCTGCAAAAGAAAAAAAAATAATGTTCACATAAATAGTTTGCCGGGGATATTCAATAATTAATGTCCTCTGTGCTCAGAAGGAAACAAAAATGCTTTTCAATGATTTATTTTCAAAATTTCACAAAGTTGCACTCTTTTAGTTAAAACACATGCATGTCCTGAAAATTGTTATCTAATTTCGGATTCCCTTTTCCCTTAAGCTTCATTTATATATTGTATACCCATCTATAAATCTTTTTGTTTTATAGAAAGAAATACACTAGGCATTTGCTTAATATTTTCGAGCCATTTCTGAGGAAATACACAATGAGTTAATGAATGAATCATACACCCGGATGACATTTTTGAGGCAAATTTTAAAAATCTTATTCATTTTACCCAACTGTTAACGACCCATCGCATCAAAAAGTTTTTCAAAATCACTTCTATTCGTTGAAACAGTAAATATTGAAACATACAGAAAATGATACATTATTTAAGCAACATATTGCATTATTTAATATTTACATTCGCTGTGTTTTTCTAGTAAGCTTACTGTGAAATTGATTTGAAAATCATTTTCGTGTATACTCACGCGTACGCGAAATATACACGGAGAAACGTGTGTTAACGTGACGTCACAATGAGACTGCAGCGACGTTAGTAAAATGCAATAATATAGGACAGCGAGAAATTCAAATATTGAGTATATTTTAGTTGCCTCAAAATGGGTAAAATGTAAATATAAGGAATGTTTTTCAGCTTAGTGTGAATTATTGGTGTGTGAATCACACAGACTTGCATATAGGCATATTTTTCATGAAGCGCGCTATGTCTACGTGACAAGTCTGTGTGATTCATACACCAATAACTCACACAAAACTAAAAAAACATTCCTTAAATGATACTTCTGGGCAGCGGCCTACCTGAGACAGGAAAATATGAGTTATAAAATCAACTGATGAAATGATAAATCAGCCTTTAAATACAATTTACACCATTAGAAATAAACTAAATTACTAAAACAAATATGTGCACAATTTGTGATGCAAAGTGATTTAAGGTTTCACTTATTTTATACACATGTATGTAAACAGTAGGAAAAGCGTTTTAAGACACTCTAATTAAACAAATAACGCTAGGATGAAAAAAATGAAACTTTGAACTTCTTGTTTAAATGCCATATAAATGTATGACATGCATGGTACTCTCTCTCTCTCTCTCGTCAGATTTCCAAGTGAGTTAAAATGTAGAACTAAGCAATGCATCTTTTTACTAGTTTTCCTCAGAATGAATGGTTAAAAGATCAGTTGAGAAAAAAAGGGTTTTCTTCTACCTCTTAAAATTTAACATTTGTGACTCTAATATTTTTTTGTTATTTATTGCAGTTTTTTTTTATTAAACGCATTCCTCCATGAAAAGGGTGTGTGCAGTTCATTTGATTTGAAAATAAAGATACTTTTAAACACTTAAATCAAAGTAAATTTTGAATTTTGGTATTTATGCCCCCCTCCCTTAGTGGAATATCGATAGTACACATTACAGTAAAATAATAAGTTGTGCTATATAATGTGAATATAGCTGTTAAACGTCATGTTTACCTCCTGATAACGCATATAACATTCTTTTAAAAGTCAGGTAAAACAGTCTGACTTAAACAAACCCTTGATAAAAATCACGGAATTTAATAACTTACGTAACGTTCGTACTCTTTTTTGTCCCCATAAACATTGTACAATCTTAACAAAGTTGATCTTACATGTACACAATATATATTCCTTATTTTTTGTGATTTTGAACCTTAATAATTTGTGTTCTTATAAGTTAAACTGCTTATTTTATCTTTTAAAATATTTACGCACAAACAAATAGGAGTACCTGAGTAGAGTTATTTACCTTTTAACTTCCTTCCATGCCTTTTAGATATCAACAACAGAATTTCAGACTTCAAGGTAAATTAAAAAGGGATATTTGCCATTGCTGACTTTAACGCTTAGTCATCACTCGATTCCGATCGGGCAGATACAACAAATATACCCACCCTTTCTCTTTGAACGAAGGAAATCCTAATTTCAAGTAGTTTCGTTTTAAATCACACACAGGAGGAATTTTACTATGGGTAGGCCTCAAGGTCACCTGGCGTCATATACATGAATATTCATGATAATAATGTTTACAATTTCTTCCGGAACAACACAATGAATATAATATGTTTTCATGCGTTTAAAAAGACACGCATTCTTTTACATCTTTTCACAGAATAGAAAATTACTATGTGGACAATCGATTGCTGGAAGGTGAATAGATTAAATATTTAATTAGGAATTAAAATAAATAAATTGGTGTAACATACTTTTAACTTTGACGAATATATGTGTTTTTAAATGGATCCTTCTAAACTATGGGTTATTATTACGAATTCCATTCTATAAAAAATGGCTAAATACAAATGTTTTATTGTATACATATAGTTTAATGTTCTTGAAAAAAATGTATAGTAAGTGATTTAATTTATCAATTAATGTACTCCTCTTGTTTTTTTTTTTTTTTTGTTTTAATATTTAATTAGAACTTAAAATAAAAAATAAATTGGTGTTAAATACTTTTTACTTGATAGTTTGTGTATAGTTAATAATTTAATTAATAAGTCATTGTACTCCTCGTGTTTTTTGTTTAAATATTTGTCATTTAATTCTAAATATTTCAAAGTATATATAAGTAAATTTATATTATATTTTTTTTTATTAACAGTGTTTCTATCTGGTTAAAGACACAAAAGGTTTTAGATGTCTGTCGCTCGTATCTTTGGTTATTTGAGTACTTTTTAAACCATTAGATATATATTGGAACATTTACAAGTCATTTCCGGTCAGCCATTAGTGTAAGATGTAGGCTGTTAAAGCTCTGAGAGAATTAGTGGGTGCATTGAAGATACGTGTGTGTGTATTGTCTCTTTGCAAGTACATGTATGTCATCGTATAATATGCCATAGTCTCTTAAATTAGTGATTTTGAAGCTGCTCATCAGCTGCTCATCAAGTATAGACAAAATTTTTAATTAATTGTGTCGTTTGGTCCAATGAACTCTACTCACGATACCAACCAATGTCGGACTCTAGATGTGCCAAGGACACCAAACGTAAAAGGTCTTCTGAATTAAGTTTCTCTGAGCACTTATCATCTCGAAGATGTATCACGTCTTCCTCATCCTTGCCAGATATTTCTAATTTTTCAGCCGAGATGGCCATTAACTTTGAGAACAGTCAATCAAAAATCCCATCATCCTCTCCTTTGACCCCAACATCTACAGTCCTAAGTTCACCACCTGGCTCTTCAACAGCTATAGTTGACTCCAACGGGGAGATACAAACATCTGCCATAAATGAACTAATTGTTAATGCCGTTCATAATGAGGCTTTCATGGGGGCATTTGCTCCACTTTTTGCATCTGCTATCACTCCCCACATCCAACTTATTGTTCAAAGCTGTCTCCAGCCCATTTTAAGTTCAATTAAGGAACAGCAAAAAGATATAGAGGAGCAAAATGAGGGAAAAAAAACCTTAAAAGAGAGTAATGATGAATTAAAACGTAGAGTAGATGATTTAGAATATGGGCTAGACAACCTAGAGCAGTATGGCCGCAGACCTTCTCTACGCTTCCATAATGTCCCGTTACCTGAGCAAGGCGAGGATGGGACAAGGGAGCCACTCGACACTGAATCCACAGTTATCCAGATCTGTGGAGGAATGGGTGTTACTATCACTCCTGATGATATAGATAGATCTCATCCTATTGGTAGCCCAAAACAAAATAAAATTCAAATCATTTGCAGATTTAGAAATTGGAAGATCAAAAACTGAGTTTACAGCGCAAAAAAAAATAATTGAAAAACAATGTCAATAAAATTTTTGTGACGGAAGAATTGACCAAGTACAGACAAGCCTTAGTTTCTAAAATCATACAAGCAAAAAAATCAGAAATCGTCCATAGTTTCTGAACCTACGACGGGAGAATTTTCGTTAATTTTGAAAAGAAGGGACACCGTTTCGAAGTACGTTCATTCGAGGATCTTGAAAATCTCCTAAACGGGTAAATGAATTATAAATAAATAAAACATGTGAGACATTTATCAAGACTGCCACTTACAATCCCAAGGACACAAATTATCAATTTACGTATCATATTATATTATATGTAGCTATTAAGCACTACATTTATGCAAATATAGCACCATTCACCCACTTGCTCTCCTTTGATTATGCCATTTGGTTTGTTTTTGTTCATGGTGATCGGTCGTTCTTTTGTACATATGTCACTTATGCCTAAATCACATAGATTTCCATTTTTGTTTTGTACTTTATTTTTTTTTTTTTTGTCTTTTTACCCCCATTTTCTTTTGTTTTTGTTTGTTTTTCTCCATTTTAATGTGTTCACAGTTTTGTATGTATGCTCCGCCCTATTTGCGATATTGCTCTCACATATTATACATTGCGGCTCTACAATCTATTTCTAAAGAAAAACGTATCAATATTTTAATCAAAGATAGGTAATTCTATCGAGCAATATCGAGCCGCTATTGGCAACTATTACTACAATAGCAGATGTTTTATCCAAAAAGTGTTCTTTCCTTTTTTAGATGTCAAATACCTACATTTATATTTGATAAACTCTAGAAAAAAATGGTTTAAACTACAAAAATATGTGGTATTTTTCAAAACTTTCTGCATCTGCAATTTTGGTTTCAAATTATTTTTTTCTTGCATCTTTTGTCAGGGGACATTGAAATAAATCCGGGACCTACAAATGATCAGATACACACAATGGACATCTTTCATTTAAACATCAGAAGTTTACGACATAAGATTGAAAATGTAACAGCATTAATCACGGATTTTGATATTTTATGTTTCACGGAAACACACTTGGACTCAAGTATTTGTAATAATGACATTATGATTGAAGGTTATGATACAATTTTTCGCAAAGATAGAAATTCTAATGGTGGAGGTATCATTATCTATGTTTCTTCATGTTTTCGTGCTATTCGTCGCATTGACCTTGAACCCATATCAATCGAATGCGTCTGGATAGAAATAAGTGAACCTATCTGTAATCCTTTTCTTTGTTGTATATATCGTCCACCCAGTAGCGAAAAATCCTTTTTGGACAAATTTTTATGGTCAGTTGAAAAAGTATCAGATATATCCAACAAATTTATAATTGTAGGTGACTTAAACGTTGATTTCCTTGACAATACTCGCAAACTTCCTATTAAAGACATCATGCTGAATTATCACTTGACAAACACAATCAGCGAACCGACACGAACTACATACACTTCGAATACTCTTATTGACCCAGTTTTTATCAACTCAGACCTTGTAGCACTCCACTCAGGCGTGATAAACACCGACAGTACACTAACTGATCATAAAGCAACTTATGTTTTTTTTTTAATCTAGTATCATCAAAAGTCAACCTTATGTTAGGAAAATATGGGATTACAAAAATGCTAATATAAAACAACTTAATTACCTTATAGAAAATGCTGAATGGGAAAATCTTATTTGTAAAGCATAATCAACTGACGAAGCTACCGAAAATTTTTCAACCAAATATCTAGATCTCGTTAGGGAATGTGTACCGGAAAAATCAGTATTAATAAGACCCAAAGACAAACCTTGGTTTGATTCACTTTGAAGGAAAACCTATCGGGAAAAAAAAAGATTGAAGCGAAAAGCACAAAAAAGTGATAAACAGACTGATTGGGATAATTCTAAGGATATAAGAAATAAATTTAATAACATGAAAAAACATGCTATTGAAAATTATCAAAATACTCTTGAATTACAACAAATTGATTCGAGTAAAAACAACTCTAAGCTTTACTGGAAACTTCTACGAGAGACTTTTAAAAGTAAGTCAACCACAGACATTCCCCTTTACAGTACACATCTGCATCAGGTGATGTTAAGTTTGCTTTTTCTGAGGAAGATAAGATACATGTACTCAACACTTATTTTGCTTCAATTACATGTGTTGATGATGAAATATCTGAATCACCTAAAGATAACATTGAGTGCAATAGTGTTTTTGACAATATCTTTATTTGTGAACAAGAAATTATTGACATTTTATCTATATTACCTGTCAATAAAGCCATTGGAGAAGACTGTATTAGCCAAAACATGTTAAAATCAACAAAATTATCTTTTGTTAAACATCTGTGCTTATTGTTTAACCGTTCATTGAAAGACTGGTGTTTTTCCAAAAAAAGGACATTAGCTAATGTAATTCCTTTGTTTAAAAAAGATGATCCTTCAGTTTTATCTTACTATAGACCTGTTTCATTGTTAAGCTGTGTCAGTAAAGTGATGGCGCGTAATGTATTTAAACACTTGTACAACTATTTTCACTATAACGATATTTTTTATAAATACCAGGCTGGTTTCCTACCTGGTCACCCTACTGTATATCAGTTGTTAGAAACATATATGATAACATTGTTAAAAATATTGATGAAGGCAAATCCTGCTGTATGATTTTTTGTGACTTATTTAAGGCCTTTGACCATGTATGGCACAAAGGACTCTTATTTAAATTAAAAAATGTATGGTGTAAAGAAAGATATGTATAGTTGGTTAAAAAGCTATTTAGAGAATAGAACGCAAAGAGTGATATACATATACCTGGTATCCTCTTCTGAATCCCTCTATGCGGATGTTCCACAAGGCTCTGTATTAGGTCCATTGTTATTTTTAATTTATGTGAACGATGTAGCTGACAAGATGTCAAGCTTTTGCAGACTTTTTGCTGATGATAACAGTTTGCAGTATGCATCTTAATGTGTCAAATCTATAGTAGGTCATCTGAATAATGATCTTTTATCTCTTGAAGAGTGGTCTAAAAAGTGGTTGCCAAAATTTAATCCCTCTAAAACTAAGGTTGTATTTTTTAACACAAGAAAAAACAAAGAATTTGCAAAACTCCTTTTCCAGGATAGCCAATTAGAATATGTTCAAACTCATAAGCATCTAGGGGTAACGTTTTCATACAACTTAAGTTGGTCATCTCACATTGAATCTTCCTGTCTAATGCATACAAAAAATTTGGTCTTTTGAAAAAAATTAAGTTT